AATGTAAAAGTCTGTGAAAGTGATTTTGTGCCTCTTTGAGATGGCACAATAATACGTCGTTCACTTGCAGATACAGGTGCATCTCAATAAATTAGAATGTCGTGGAAAAGTTCATTTATTTCAGTAATTCAACTCAAATTGTGAAACTCGTGTATTAAATAAATTCAATGCACACAGACTGAAGTAGTTTAAGTCTTTGGTTCTTTTAATTGTGATGATTTTGGCTCACATTTAACAAAAACCCCCCAATTCACTATCTCAACTGATAGTGCTGAAAATAATTTATTGAGATGCACCTGTATTTTACCCCACGGAACGCGATCGGGCTAGTTTTGAGCAGCAAATGGACGGTTTTTGTTGTGAAAAACCTGGCAACCCTCATTGATGTCATTATAATACGTGCGATACAGACCTCACAGGAATATTTTATTTTTAATTTTAACAAAACCCGTCCGTTTTCTCCAAAACGAAATTAAAAGTTTGATATCAATAATTTTAAGATCATGACCGTGTGAGGCGGTTTCTGTGACGTCACGCGCGGGGACTTTGAAAATAAGCGCGAGGAGGAAGCGCTGTTTTTTTTTTTTTGCTGCTTTTTTTTCCCCATAATCATACAAACATATAAATAAAACTCTACTCGTTTGTGATATACCTCATCATGGCGCTCCTGACTCCGTACAGTAAAGTGCCCGAGCTCGTCTCGCTGATGCTGTTTAATATAGTCTAATATAACAACACAAATTAATCTCAATGTTTTTATGTGTATCGTAATAGCTGGTTGAAAACGAGGAGGAGCTGCAGTCCAAACTAGCCACAGTGCGATATGAGAAAGATTTCAACGTCAATGTGTGAGTGCATATAGTGTGTGTTATTTATTATTATCAATAATAATAACAGTTACTCATAGTTATTTTTATGCTTAAATGGACGGGAGGATGTATGGAATAATAATTATTAGTGTAAACAGCCACTGATTTAGTAGTGTTTATAGTGAACCTGCTGTCAGAGCGCAGGTACTGCTTCCTGGTCACTGATGGTGAGCAAGAGCCTTATTCAACAATTATAAACATGCACGCACTCATTTTTGTCTCATTACAGTTTTTCACAAAAAGAAATGAACTGTACTTTTGAAAAATGCATTTAAAGTCAAATGCATTCAAAAAAGTTTAAACATGTTGCTTTTTATTTTTATTTATTTATTTTTTGCTAATGATATCACACAGATCAGGGTTTTAATCTGTTTTCACGTGAGTTCCGTTTTGGTAACAATGTAGCAAAATAAATAGTTGATCAAATGTTTCTTTGACATTTGGTTTGAGCTTGAGATGAGCATTTTCTGAAGGTCAAGTGCCTCCTTTACTGATCATTTGCTTAAATGGCGTGATTTTAATGTTTTAGAAAGCAGTCTCTTCTGCTCAACAGAGCTGCATTTATTTGATCAAAAATACAGTAAAATTGTGAAATATAATTGCAATTTAAAATAACTTTTTTTATGAGAATCTACTGTAAACTGTAATTTATTGCTGTGCTCAAAGCTGTATTTTCAGCATCATTACTCCAGTCTTCAGTGTCACATGATCTTCAGAAATCACTCTAATATGCTGATTTGCTGCTCAACAAACATTTCTGATTATTATCAGTGTTGAAAACAGTTGTGCTGACGAATATTGTTGTGGAAACTGATACATTTTATTTTTTAGGATTCACAGATCAGGCAGACAGCGCATTGCTCTCTCTGTCTCAGATGGCGTGAACACAGCAGCCGTGCGGCTCCTCAACAACCTGAAGGTGTCCGCGGGAATGTCGCCCATAGCAACCACCGCCCTCTATTTGACCTCTCTGACCCGCTGCTCGGTGACCTCTGACCTTGAAGAGGACTGAGCTCCAATATGATCAATTGAGAACTACATTAAGACTCGGCTCATTACTTTGAATTTCCACACAGGA